AAGGATACAAAACTCAATTCCAGCAGCCTTCACAGAAGGGATATTCAGTGTTCACAACTGCACCGTTGGAAGGCAGAGACGGCGGGAGATCCGCACTCACACCCAAAGTGGAAGATCTCCTTTTGTTGATTCGTTTAGCTAGCGACACGAATGAAAAAAACAAAACAAAACAAAACAAAACTTCCCAGAACTGTGACTTTCGACACTTTTTCCTCATTTCCCAAGTGTCAGCGAAGGGGGAAGTTGGAATTATTTACATGAGGGAGATTTTGTGAAAACACAACAGGAGCTTAAAAATAGAATAATCACAAATACTGGAAAATACAATAAGAAAGCAGGCAGGGAAATTAAAAAAAAAAAAAAAAGAGGAAAGAAAAGAGAGAAACCCCAAGAGGATCATTGCATTCAACAGCTGACGTACAGCTTGTGGGTCTGCTCCACGTTGATACACCACAGTTTTGCACGCTTAACTTGATTCACTGGCATGGCATTATGCTCCCGGTTTAAACCTCGATTCTGCAAAGCTCCTGGTTCCAGCGGGCTCTCAGCTGTGCAGAAGGGATTGCGTGTTTGCAACAATTTGCAGAACGAGTGCCACAAAACGTGAGCGTGTGTTGACACCTTGTGGGCCACCCAAGAGATGTCAACCTCTACCCAAACGCCTGGTCTGAAGACCACTTGCTTTCTTCACCACGGCCACCACCGCATCCTACAGAGCAAGTCCCTTCTGGCAGAAAACCAGTGCAGCAGCTCTGCAAGCTTGTGGAGATGTGTCAGTTTAGACCAGCGTGGATTTGGGTCTTTACATTCGACAGGAAGAGAAGGAAATGGCATTAACCTAAAGGACCATTCTGACTTTCATTTCAATGTGCCCCCAAACGCAGCTTCTGTGCACGGATCACAACCACCCGACTGTCCTAACTACAAAAGACTTGGTACACTGAAATAACACCAGCAAACCACATCTGAGCTTGATTGTACCACCGATGTTTCCTTGGGAGGAATAAAGATCTTGTAAATTATGAATGTCAGGGTCCCGGCTAGGCAAAACCCGCACTGAGGTCTCCCCAGGGACAGCACCAGGATTGTGAAATCATGTGAAACCCGAACAAAAGAAAGGAAAATGGAGTGTTTGGGGTTTAATCCAGCAAAGGTCACATCAAGTCAGGCGACAAACTGAGACCAAGAGAGCAGACACTGAGCCGAGCACTTCGCAGCTGCCATGGAGCGCTGCAGTAGTTCTCCTACAAATTATTTTTAAGTGAAGTTCTTACACATGATGACATTTTATCCCTCATTATTCTAAACCATGCATTAATTTTACAGTGAAATATTTATCCAGTCCAACATCTACACAATAAAACACATTTTAAAATATCAGAATATTAAAAAGATCTGGTAAGGAGTGCGAGTTCTCAAAGTGGCACGTTAAGGAATAAATTAAAAGGAAAAAAAAACAAAACAAAACAAGTGTTCTACTCAGGTTGAACTACAAAATAAAGTCTGAGCCTGGGAGAAGTTCTCTCGTTCCCTATAGTTCTAACAAATAAATGCCACAAGAAACAGTTCCTGTTTCCAGGTTTGCTAGTGCTTGAATCCACATCGCTTGTTACAGTACTGTGTATTTGCGAGCGATCCTCTCCAGTTTGAAGGTATTAAAAATAAACCCCCGCTGCTGTTACGGACTAAGAAGTAGTGATTGTTTAGGTGCAGAAATTAACTCCCTCAAGGTGTTCAACCTCACAGGCTTCTTAATATAAGAAATAAACCCCAAGGAGCCAGCTCCGAACAGCACAGCCTGCAGGTGCCAAGGAGAGTCGTGGCTTCACTGGAAGGGGCTCCAGCTCCATCACCTGTTTGGGGTGAGCGGTGCTGTACCCACAGGGGGGTTCGGTGGCCCCACTGGCTGCTGGGGACACAGGGCTCTCCCTGCATTGTGCCCAGGTTGCCTTCCTCACCTCGCTGGCATTTGAACGCTGCCAAATTCCTGGTAATAGCAATTTTGCAGCAACACAGGGAAGGAATGTTCAGCGCGGCTCCTCTGTTCCCACCGAAAGATACCTCCTCCTGCAGACAGTGCCAACGTGAGGCCCCTCTGCCACTTTAATAATGAAAGACCTTCTTAATTAGCACCTTTTCAGCCGATGAAACCTTTCCTCCGTGGCTCTGCTGTGTCGCTTGGGACCAGCGGCCACCACAGGGTGGGCTGAGTGGTGCAGAACTTGGGTGGTTTTTCCCCAGAGCAGCCTGGCAGAGGGCGACTTGACGCCGCTGCAGTTGTGAAGCCCCAGTAATTAGCTACCTACCACCTTAAAAGACAATATAAGGATAATTTAACAATTATAAGAATTCTTAGCTAATACAGGGACGGGGACAATAAGAGCACTTAGAAGATGACAGGAGTCTTGCACTTCTTCAAGGTTCACGTGTACGGGCGGCAGGGATGAACGCTTCCTTTTCAACCATGAATACAGATCTGTGTGACTTAATGATGATTCTCTGACAGGCTGTAATTGTTTAAAGTTAGCAGCTCTGTTCAAACTAAAACAGCTAAAATCATACCAAAGAGATAAAAGCTCTGAACTAGCACTGACATGAAATAACAAGCCCCCTTTGATCTTTCTTGATTGCAAATCGTTGGGGCACATATCGCTCCGGCTCCGCAGGGGGCGACCCCAGGTCAATTTTTTTTAAAGGAAAAAAAAAAAAATAATCAAGGGAACATACTTATCTGCTTAGAGCACGCCAGCGAAAAGCATCGACGTCCTCGACCAAAGATCGTCACATAAAATGCTGCACAAGCGCTTTCAACAGGTCAACCAGACCACAGATGCACCAACCAGAAAGGAGTGTCATTGGCAATTGCATCCACAAGACTCGAGCCTAAAACAGTGGAAACTGTAGGAAGGGGCTGAGACTCGGGCTGTCTGGGGTCGTTACTTACTCGGGTGGTGCAGCAGGTACAGAATTACCTGGTGCCTATGCACAGGTCTGAAGACACGGAAGGCTGCCAGCTATGTTCTGGGGATAGCTGGGCCACCACTGTGATCCCTTCCCAGCTCTTTATCAGGGAGTGGAGCGATAGGATGAGGCATAACGATTTTAAACTGAAAGAGGGGAGATTAGATTAGCTATTAGGAAGAAGTTTTTCACTGTGAGGGTGGTGAGCCCCTGGGGCAGGTTGCCCCGAGAAGCTGTGGCTGCCCCATCCCTGGAGGTGTTCAAGGCCAGGTTGGACGGGGCTTGGAGCAACCTGGGCTGGTGGGAGGTGTCCCTGCCCATGGCAAGGGTGGTGGACTAGATGATCCTTAAGGTCCTTTCCAACTCTAACCATTCTATGAAAAACAGGTGAGACTGTTGGAAGAGCCACAAGAAGGAAAAAAGAAACTTGCTTGTGAACTAAAGTAAACACCAGTTCACCTGATCTTTTGACTAAGGAGAGTTTGGCACAGGGTTAAACCCAGCCAGTGAAGTGTCGGCTGAGGAGATCAGCCTCCCACTTCTCCAGATCCAACTTTCGTTAGACATTTCAAATGGTCTGATCTCTCAGGTTTTCAGACAGCACTGACGCCTGCCAGGAAGCATCTCTCCCAGGACTAGAGCTGGACATGGAATCAGGAGACACGGCTTATTGCAGGATGGAGGATGGTGTAAAGACCCAGGATGGCACCCATCGCGCGAGGTCCTGACCCAGGCGCGGTAGTGTTTTGCCCAGGGATGCTGAATCGAATTGCTGCTTCGTTGCACAGCGAGATGCATGACAGCTTTGGAAAATATCTTACAGAAAACAGGACCGGGCATGCTGAGTTTTACCTGTGCTTCGGAAGACACATCCTGCATGACTGAGCTCAAGGTTGCGGCTGGTCTAATAACAAGGCAGACCACAGAGAAAGCTTTGCTAACTGCTCCCCTTCCCCCTTGCGTTCACCCTATGCACAAAGCGACATGTCAGCTCAGTTTGAGCACGGCTTCCACTCTAGCTTAACGGCCTTTCCCTTCTTTTAAACAGGGAGAAAAGAGATGGAGAGAAAGGTCTACCTATGTACTGCAATAGAAATGCATGAATGGAGGACCCAGAGCGCAGGGCTTAGCTCGCTTTTGAGTTTCTGTCCCGTCACATGCAGAGCTTTGCTTTCCTTCAGCTCCAGAGAGCGAAGCCTTGACTTCAAACCTTGATCCTCTCCTGGAGAAAGCCTTCGTGCACATTTGGAACCAACTGACATGCTGCGTGTCTGCAAAGGCCGGCAAACTCCAGTGATTCCCAGCACCTCTGGCTCCATCCAAGCTGCCCTTTGCCAAGACCCAGGCAGCGCCACGCTGCGCATGAGGACTACTGATTGCTCCAGCTGGGGTAGAAACGGGGTTTTTATTCCCCCAGAGGGGAGGAGAGTCCAAAATGCTGATTCTGATACAGGATTGTTGGTCCTTTTCCATTTAAGAAGTGAAACACCTACCCTTGGCAAGCTGTGATGGTAGGACAGCCCAAGGCAGCACCAAGTGGCACTTCCTGACAGCGCCAGAGGTACAGGACGTGCTCTGATGGCATACAAAGGGGTGATGGGGAGACTCCAGCGAGCCACGGTGCGGGTACTCGAACGCCTTAGAAGCACACGCAGCCCACAACTCCCACGCAGCCATAGCACGATCACAGTACGTACGTAACCACAGTATACAGCTTGCAGTAGTAACATCGATTGGGATCTGTTTCCTATCCCAGGAAGTGGCCTCCATCCTTTAGGTGCTCAGAACATGTCTTAAGAAGTGATTCCTCAGAGGATAAACTTCTCATTTGCCATAATTTGCAAGTCTTTTTGCTCCTCTCCTTTGCTAGTGTTGATTTGCTTCAAGTTCTTCCACCAAAATCCTTAAGAAAGGCACATTAGCTTGGTGGAGATCTTTCTCACCTCCCTTCGCAATAAAAAGCTTTCCGAAATCCCATATCGCTCACCAATTTGTCTCTAGAGAAGCAGACTTTAAAACGTAAAGCAGTCTGCATCTTCTTAAGTCCAAACCTCCATGGGTACCATGGACTCCTTTGTTCCGACGGAGGGAAGCAAGTACTCTTCCTCCAGAAAACGAAAGGGGAATTGTACTAAAAACCCACGAATCTTTTTTAATTCTTCCGCTGCTTTCGCAGGATCATCATTTGCTAATTTGGGCTTGTTGATGAAATCACGCAGTTGGGTTAAATTATTCACCTGGTCACTGGGAAGGCATCGAAAAACCTGATCAAAACAGAAAGAAGAAGTGGCACGTCAGTGCGGGGAAAATACTGCAATGCAGAGTTCCCCAGAAAGACCAAAACATCTAATACAAATTCCCCAGGATGGGAGTGACTTAATTAACAGCCTGAAGAACGGGGAGGGAAGAGGTACGTGCCTATCTGTGATACGGCTAGGGCGGGCAGAGGGGAAGCTCCAGGGCGTTTTCCGATCGCTGCAAAAGCTCATTAGAAACCAGAAATAAAATTTGCTTCTACTCCAGTTACACTATGGCCAACTAGAAGGGCCGTTTGCTGGAGCTACAGCTGATACAAATAAAAGGAGAAATCAGAACTGCTGCCTTCTTGGGCTACCCTCAGGCTTTGAGGATGCACAAACTCCAGTTTCTTGTTCACAGCTCTGGTAACCAACGCTACTTATTCCTTCAGAGCATCTCTGAAGGTCCAACCCCAGGAATCAGATCTGCTGCCCTTGCCCTCCCTGTGCTGCTTCTCCTGTTGGCATCTGCGGATGCTGTGTGGGAAGGAGGGAAGGGAAGGGAAAGGCACCACATTCCCCACCTTGTCGAAGATGGTGGCATTGCGAGCTGCTGTAGAAATCCACACTTCCTTGAAGAATTTGTCACAGACGGGATCCTGGTGTTCCGGATTGAGATCGGAGCCGCCAAGGACAACCCTGAGAAGACAAAGGGATCGATGTTCATGGAGGCCGAAGCACCGGGTGCTCCTCCCTCTTGAGAAATGCCAGGAGAGGACAAGTCTCCTTGGGACTTGCCAAACCCTGCATGCTCCCAGAACCCTCCTACTCCCATCCCCTGCAATAGTCTGTCAGCCGTAATGCTGCCCAATTTTCCCCTTTTTTTCCGTGCAATAACTGTCCAGATGGGAAACAGGGACGGGGAGGGGAGGAAAAAGAAAAAGGTCTTAATGAAAAACCGGCCGTGTTGCGGGCCAGATGGCTGCTCTGAGTGAGGAAACTTCCGTTAGAAAGAGACACCATCACCCAAAATTGAGAGAGTGTGAAAACAGGATCTGGAGGCAAAATATCACTGTCTTGTTTATGAGCTTTCCTAGTGAAAACCTGGAGCAAAACAATTCGTAAAGTCAAGCTGCTGAGCTGAGGACAGGAGGGCCATGAGAAAGGTTAACGCTGGTGAAACAGCAGCAAAACTCCGGGCTGAATCCAGGCGAGTCGATGCTAAAGCCGAGCAGGCAGCAGCAGCCCCGGTGGTTTGGAAGGCTGTGGAGCGGCGTAAGCCTGAGTGAGCCCTGCCTGCATCCCCGCGCTCGGCCAGCCCCGTGTGCCCTACCTGAAGCACCGCAGCCGGAGGGACTGGGCGAACTTCCCAGCGCTGTAATCCTCCCCATCCATCACGGAGGGGACGGTCTCGGTGTCCTGCACGATGATGGCCATCTCGCTGTCCCGCTTCCCCAGCATGCTGCGGTCGTTGATGTTGGCAGAGCCTGGCAAGGGGGAAAACGAAGCACCGGCAATGCACCACCGCTGCATGAGATGCTCCTGCGCACCCTCCATCACCACCCACAGCCCCCCCAGGCCCTCCCCATCCCTCACCTCCGTGGGAGACCGTCTATGGCCTCACAAGGTAAAAACCCGACCAGAGGGCTTTCTTATGGAGACACAGACCCCGAGAGCCAGGATTTGGGGAAGGGAAAAAAAACGCCCTAATTTTTGCAGGCTTCAAAAGCTTCAGGCTTTTGAAATCACAGCCAAGCCCACACCAATGTTTTCAAAGTTTACTCTCTCTGTAACTTCCCAGATGCTTTTGCTGAAGGATGCCACAGCTTTCAAAGGTCTTAACTGCATTGGGTTCGGGTACCAAGTCACCTGCCGCAGGATGGGCTCCACGGGTAAATCTGCTCTTATCTTTAGTAGTGTAAAGAGGGGAAGTTTTCCATTTGCACTTGGAAGGTAGGGTTGGTTTTTTTCAGGAGGGGGATTCTAGGAAGAAGGACGTCATCTCCTTGCTGTGGGTAACCAACACCCAGACCCTCCTCTCCTGCCGGGACCACACTTTAATATCCGCAGACGCAAGAGCTCAGGCACTGTCCCTGCTAAGGCAGCAGCAGACCCCAGGGCTCTGGGGGACCTTCCAACCACGGGAGATGTTTCTTCTCTACTCCTTACCCTATGCCTGCTGCAGCGCTACCGCTCGCTGTGTCAAACCCAAACCCCAGAAAGGAGTGGGGTGCTTCCCAGAGGGGTGCTGGGGGGATGCCTTCCCCAGCGGTGGGCACCCACGGGTGTCCGGCACACAGCTCCCCACTCGCACCCTGAGAAATAACCACTTCATCCACCCAGCAAAGCTGCTGGAGGGCAGCAGAAGCTTCCCCCCGTTGCATTTCTACTGCACGGCTCTGGCTGTGCCTTTCGGGGAGGGGGTCCCTCTCCAAAATGCACCACCCCACCCACGGAAGGGTTTGGGTGCCGGGCTCATGCGGTGGCTCCAGCCCTGACCCTGCGCCCCAGCCCGCCTGTGCCGTGCAGGCTCTGACACCCGCAGCATTCGAGACCAGCTGAGGCTTTATCCCCCATTTTTCTCTGTCCCACGCAGAAGGCAAGGGGTGGGGGACACCGCAGGGGACAGTAAGATGCAGCCAGTGATAGAAATCATCAGGTCATTAACCCACAGAAATGACCCAACAACAAAAACTCTCCAGACAGCCCCCAGCTCCATAAGAGACCCCCAGGCACTAGTTTGCTATTTAGCCTTCCCAGTGACTGAATTAACTCAAGGGGAGCTTTAACACCCCCAGAAGAAAAATGAGCTCAGGCTCCCTCTCTGTCCTTTCACCTCCCTCTCCTGCACGGTGGCCCCACGAGCACTTTATTTCCACGCACCGCCTCATTCTTGGGTGGAAAAGGGATGACACTGGCTCCCCATCATCTCACCAGCCAGCACAGGCACACACACTGGATAAAACTCCATCCTCAGGCATATAGGTACAGAAAATAGAAATTAAGAGCTGTCTCAGGCCCCCAAGACCATCACAGCTGCAACAACGCTGTTCCTGCTGTAATATTAAAACCACCTCGGGGCTGCTCCGCGTACTGGAGACGGGATCTGAGCCCTGGAAGGGCAACAGAGGAGCAAACCTAACCACAGGTCATCCCAGGCTACAGGCTCCACTGCTGCTTTGAAGGAGGGGAGCATTTTTGAGTCTTGCAAAATCTGGCATTAAGTTATTCTTTGGCAAAGTTTCCGTTGCTGATACAACAGACCGAAAAGGGTTTATTTAAAGAAACAGGCTAAAATTCTGCTTTTCGGCTGCAATGTAGAACTTTGAGCCTGACATCTTGCCTTTGCTTCGTGGTCTCATAATAAATATGGTAAAAGAAACGGATGAAATGATATCTATTACTCGTTATAACATATTTCCCCATTCCTAGGAAATGGAGCTGATAAATGACACATGTTGTCCAAACCTTCCAAATTTTACGGCACATTCTGTTCTTTAAGGAACAGATGACAAGTCTCACAAGTCTTCCTGCTAGAGCAGAGTTTGATACAAGACAGATGGACAATATTCCCTGCACTGGGATTCTCTTCACTGTTACACAGAGATTTAAAACCATTTTAGAAAAACAAATTAAATGACAGCCCTCCAAGTACTTTCCTCCCTCCTACCT